ATCGCATTGGTTTTCTCATACAGCATCTCTGTATGTATAGTATGTGTGTTCACTCTCTGTCCTACACACCTTGTTGGAGCTCCTGCCCCCCCTCCCTATGAGCCCACTGTGCTCTGATTGGTCAGCTCGCCCACTCTGTTCTGATGAGTCAACCACCGTTACAGTGGAACATCAGTGTTTATGTGTTACAATGGCGTTTGTTAGCAACCAGAAAATGACACCAGTAATGACAAACAGATGAGAATGCTGCGTGGGGTCTGGGTGCCGTGTTGGCGGGACGTTGCGGGGCTCACTGCTCCGCCCTTTGAGGCTCGAGGAGCGGAAAGTGTGAGCTGTATTACTGGTTTCCTTTCCTGGTTGCTGCGTGGGGTCTGCGAGACAGCGAGACACCGCGTAGCTCAGCCCGAGCACACACACACACACTCACAGCCTGAGCTCCGAGTGTGTGTGTGTGTGTGTGTGTGTGTGTGTGTGTGTGTGTGTGTGTGTACGGATCTCCGAGTGTGTGTGTGTACGGATCTCCGAGTGTGTGTGTGTGTACAAAGTAGGGGTGCAACAACTAATCGACTTAATCGATTAAAATCGATGACCAAATTAGTTTCCAACTAATTCAGTCGTCGATTAGTTGGTGACGTCATCACGTGTGTTTTACGCGCCGTTAAACTCCAACTTTATCGGTCTTTTTATCGGTACTGGAGACATTTAAAAAATATATGTCATATGTATTATTGCTACAAAAACATTATCTTGCAGTCTTAGTGTCGCCAACTCGTTTCTAATATGCAAAAAGACAAAAAAATGCGTCTATGATGTATTTTCGATCAGACGAGATCTCTCTCCCCTGTCTGTGTGCGAGGGGGCGGGGCAGTTTACACACACGCAGCTGCTACATGCAGCAACACACTGCGGAGATGGCGGAGAGAAGCGCTCCAAGGTNGGCGTTACACACACGCAGCTGCTACATGCAGCAACACACTGCGGAGATGCGGAGAGAGCGCTCCCAACAGGTGTGGTAAAACTTTACCCGTTCTCGAATTGTGGGACATGCTCGTTGCAAATAGTGCAAATAAAGAGTTTTAGCAATGTACAAGGCGGCGGTAACACGAGCTATTTGTCTAAACATTTAGCAAAAGTGCACCACATTCAGACGGAGGAATGCACCGGGTTCGACTGTCTTTCTAGCAGCTCTGTTGCCCCATCCACGAGTAACGTTTCCACGTCAGGTTAGGCAAGCAGCAACACACGGAGTTAACAACATTACACAAACATGGGTTAATGATTAGAGGTAACTGAGTTATTTATTTTGTTAAAGTTTCAGCTATTCTGTTTACAGTTCTGTTATCACATTATTTAATACGATTTGTTAAAACATTGTTGTTTCTTTTGATGTGAAATATTATGTTAATTCTGTTCACAATTAGTTAAGTTCATTTAATAATATATGTATTTTTATTTATAAGTATTCATCTTTATAGTCTTCATTGTTAGTTTCCACATGCCTAAAACAACCTCAATCTAAATCTAAAAGTTGATGGCTAAATCAGAGCGTTTGTGTCATTGTGCAAGGCATACAGTAACAGTCCGAATAGTCGATTAATCGTTTCATTAATCGATTATCAAATTAGTCGTTTGTTGCAGCCCAAGTGCAAAGCTCCGCGGAGCACTGCGGCTGAGAAAAGATAAGGCTGAGTGAGTGTGTGTGTGTGTGTGTGGAGCTCCGCAGCGTTACGTCAGTATGCCCCAGAAAAAGAAAAATGGAAAAAGAGAAATATCCAACGAGGCGTTCTGGGGCAGCATAGACAGGTCTGTTCAGTATTAGAGTTTTACTTGCTACAGGGTGTACTTTGAGGGTTTGTGACTTTACATGCATAAAAACCTTCATAACACACAAGGGGACGGGTAATAACCGGAAAAGCATGACATGGGACCTTTAAGACTTAAAGTGGTAGAGGGAGAATTACAGCGTGTACGGCATGCTGTTAAACACCTGTCTCCTGAGTAAATATGATTTATTTTGTAAATGTTCTAAAATAATAATAAATAAATAAATAAAATAAACATTGTTTTTATTATAACATTTCATGTAATGTTCTGGATATTAAAGAGGTCATATTATGGGTTTTTCCCTTTGGTGCAGTGTGTTAGATTGTTGTTGCATGTAGGGCACCTCTAAGCGCTGACCAAGTTGACCAATCACAACAGAGCCGGCCAGCTAACCAATCAGAGCAGACTGGGCTCTGGTTTCAGACAGAGGGCGAAAAGAGGTGCTGCAGCACAGGCAGTATGAGAAAAATAAAGAGCTTTTTGAACATTAGAGCATGGAGACATGTCACAGTTGAGACACAGTATATAAATATGAACCTGAAAGTGAGAATAATGTGTCCTCTTTAAGAACAAATTTATGAGCAAATGATATGAACTGCCATTCTCTGCCAGAAGCTGATTTACAGTCATCCATAAAACTAAGCCTTTCTAATGTTTAGGAAATATGCATTCATCAGACTAGCTTATAATAGTTTATATTAGTTTTACGCTGATGTTTGTTTACACATCCCATTATTGACAGTTGCACTAAAGAGGCCGATTATTTATTTAGAGAGGATTGCACTGACGAGACATCAGATTTGATTTGTGTTAGTCTGCAATGTTCGTTCTATCTCAGATAAAGGAGATGCTGCTATCTGCTAACAAATGCAGTCAAACTATTTACTTCTCATTCACCAGTTGTTTTTATTTTTAAATGTATTTATATGATTCCCTGTGGACATTTAGTTTATACTTTATCATTTAAAATACAAGAACTGCAGACAAAGTCAACATATAATGCTAAAAGAATACAAAACAATTTCACTTTAACAAATACAATTTGTGTCTGGTTTGTTGTTGTTATTCAGATAAAGAAACAACAAGAAAAAAAAACAACTTGGGCAATGTATATCATCCATTTGCTGCCCTGCTCTCTAAATATCTGCATCTGATATTAAAAAAGGCATATCAGCGGACCAATACTTTGTTTTAAGGAACATTTTATTTGAAGATGAACTTTTGATGCTTGGATGCAGTCATACAGTTGTTCTCAACTTTGTGTTGTTAGCTCTCTTTACTCAATGTACTCAATGTATATGGAGTGTCAAGTTCAATTTCTCAGTAGGTAGGGTAGGTTAAATACGTTGTTTATATATATTTTACTGTCTGGGAAATATCATAGTGATCCTTTTATTAATGATTTATTCAGTTGCTCTCACTAGGTGAGGTTAAAGAGACAACCTCATTTTCTGGATTTCTATTTTAAGATCTTTAAGACTTTTAGAAAAGCCCTGGGAACCATATTTGTAGTTCTTTTTTAGTACTCTAGTGTTGGCAAACAATCTAATATGCCATTTCTCTAACTTGTTAGCACCAAAAACAATTCTTCCTTTACTTCACAAAGATAAAATGCACCTCAAATCCTGGACAAATAGAATGAAAACTGTCTGCATGACAACATGTCTCTAAATCTGTTAAGTGGGTCATTTATTAAAGCCAGACCGAGTGATCTTTCTTTAAACCCACAATGGTTTATACTCCAGATTTTTCAAAACCATAAAACAATAACATGGTAATTTCAGGAGCTGGTAAGTGTTTCATAATCACTTTTAGTCGCAAACAGAAAAGGGCATTGTGTTATTTTTAACTGTGTTTTCATCAGTGTAACACAAACATGAAAATACATTGAGAGACAAGAAAATGGATTTGAGGCTGAGGAGTTAATTACCAATTTCCTTGGCTGCCTGAAGGAGGCTCTTCAGTTCAGCTTGCTGTTTAGCGTTGTCCTGATTCTCCGAGCAGAGATGGACAATCTTCTGCCACGTCACACCCTCTCTGGCAAACAGCTCCCGCCTCTTCAGCCGCTTGGTCTAACATGAAGCACAGGGAGAAAAACAATTTCATTTCAACAAGGACAGCAGGAGTACTTACTGCTGTCATAATGACAGGTATTTTAACCGCCCACAAAACCTTGGATAAGAAAAAAGAAGCCCAATATTTTTGTCAAAGCAGGATGAACTGAAAAAAGCATTCATAAATAAATAAATAATGTTGTTAGCTTGGATGTAAGGACAACTGTCGTGGCTATCCAATATGCCATTGAATGTTAAAGAGAACATCAAATCCTAATCTGTGCCTCTACTGTGACATGTCTCCATGCTTTAATGTTCAAAAAACTCTTTAATTGTCTCATACTGCCTGTGCTGCAGCACCTCTTTTCACCCTCTGTCTGAAACCAGAGCCCAGTCTGCTCTGACTGGTTGGCTGGCTGGCTCTGTTGTGATTGGTCAACCGCTTGGAGACATACTGCCCCTATCAAGTGCAATGTTTTGGAGCGGAAGCCAATAGAAACGTGAGTGTTATGTAGTGATGTCCCTCTTTAATCTCGCCATATTTCCGAAACTTTCCTTTCATGCAACTGAATTTTTTCAGATTCACCTCAAACTAGTACTATCATTTGAAAATGGTGCATATATAACACCTGACTTTTAACAATGGCACAAATGAATGCAATTGTGATAATGAGCTTTCAAATTGTAGTTACAAATGCATCTTTAGCAGTATGTGTATTTCTGTAGAAAATCCAGTGTTAATGAGAATAAGCTTATTTTGAAGCGTCTGCCTATAGAGCAGTGAGGTATTAAAAGTGAGCAGCTCGGAGGTCAGGAGAGGCATTAACACAATGACTCCATTACAGTCTACAGCTCCATGCCTTCTAAAACTAAGCATTTTAGCAAAGGCTGAGAGATAATCTCAGAGCTGCTTTAGGCTTCTTTTCTCTGGAGAAGCACTTTTTCTGCTGAGAGGATTTAACTGGAGGTGAGCCAGGTACAGGGAACAGCTTAATCGGCACCCACTTTCATTTCAAATCTCACGAAGAGGCAACTGATCTGAAAAAACAAATCAGTAAGATAAGAGTGAAAAGCAATGATTGGAATGCTGATTAAATGGTGAAAGCCAAAATAAGATACACAGGTAGAAATGTTTGAAAGCAAACCAGTGAGGATAAAGCAAACAATCCACCCAGATATTGTCCACCTGCAAGCAGTGGACATTGTGGTAAAAACTTCAAAGGAGGTAAGAAACTAGAATAGCATTTGCACGCTTCATATGAATTTGACAAAACAGCAGTTTGATGTCAGAGAGATCTCTGTCAGGCTTTATCGTCAGCATTCACAGAGACAGAGCACTGGCTTTAGGCTGAAACAGTTCCTGGGTCAAGTTGTTGCACACAAGCATGAACACTGTGGTCGTTTGTTATTATTCTAAAAATAGATTTTAATCAATATTTCTCCCCGAACTACGTGTGACACGTGTAACAAGTAGGCCATATCAACTTAAAAGGTTTTAATATGACAGGAGAGCTTTGAACTGATGTCAGACACTGGAGATCTATTCAAAGTTACAGCCTGAGCATATAGACATATGCTGAGTCACCGTAGTGACACAGCTTCTGCCCAACCAACTTTACCAATACGCACCTGTGGGGACAAAATGTTAAAGCTCCGAGGCCATTTGCCTGCATGACACAGGGGAGTGAGAGGAGAGGCAATGACAAAGATGACTACAACTAAAACTAAAGGGCCTCATTTAAAATGTAGACATGTAGACAGCAGGGGGTCGGAACAAAGTCCTCAAACGTTACTAAATATAACGTTATATTGTGACGATAGAGACAGACTTCCCATTACCCATGAACTGATCTCACCTTCAGATCGTAGAGCTGTTCATTAAAATCCTCCTTCTTGCTGACAGTGGAGAAGGAGCGCAGAGCCCCTGTGAGTCGAGGAGGAGACATTGTTCTCTGATGCTCTCATCCAAACACTGCTCCTCCAGAAGGTTCTATCACACAGATACAAAAAATGAAATGAACCTTCATGGCAGAATGGTTACTTCATAACATCAACAGTTGTGTAAAGTAACTAAGTACATTTACTCAAGTACTGTACTTAAGAACAATTTTGAGGTACTTGTACTTTAGAGGATTATCTCCATGTTCTGCTCTTTGTACTTCTACCTCACTACAATTCAGAGGTAAACATTGTACTTTATGATAGTACTATTTATGCTACGTGTTCTTCTTTCTGTGTCTTTGTATGCACCATTTATATCAAAGCTAATTCCTTGTTTGTGTGAACCTACTTGGTAATACAACTGATTCTGGGTTAGGGTGAGCGCAAAATAACTCAATCTGCATAATACATATTTTCACTTTTGGTACTCTAAGTATATTTTGATGCTTATACTTTTGTACTTTTACTTGAGTAACATTGTGAATGCAGGACTTTTACTTGTAGCAGACTATTCCTACTCTCTGGTACTTCTACTTTTACTCAAGTACAAGATCTGAATACTTCTCCCACCTCTGGCCATCAATAGTACATAACGTGTCTATAGAGATACACACTCAACTCCTATAGAAAACAGGTACGTTAAGTTGATCTGAACGAAAATCAAACACACAAACATGGACAGTATTAGCAGATGTTACACGTCGTTGGGGTCTTTTTTTATTCTTCGGAATACAATGGGTCCTAAAAAACACCTGATAACAGCTAAATATATGACTGTAATAGCTGAAAGTTATACGCAATGAAGCTCCATTGTGTTGGGAACAAAGACTGCATGGTAGATAGGATGTTCGGCAAATTGAATACTGGATACTATCGATTCCAAAAGACATAATGCCAACTTTATAAACATAACATGATAACGTGACTACAAAAATGATTAAGCCAGCTTTTTTAATCCACCTAACGTCATTATGTGCAGGCGTTAACGCCATGTCTTGCTTTTATTACTGTTTAAACTATATGTTTTCTTATGCCACTTACATAAGAAGTTACAAAATATAAATATGCTTCCTAATGTTGTCTGTGTTGCTAGCTGGTGTTAGCTTGCCAAGCCTGGCTGTCATTTCTAAAACCCTTTTAATGTAACGTTAGCTTCAGGGCTGTGGAAAACTGTCAATGTCAAACCAATTGCCACAAAGTATTAGCCAGTCTAAAACTTCATATTTCAATATGTAACTAGGCCTACCTTCCAAATCGCTTTGCAGAACGGTCTGTGAGAATCGTGTGACTGCTGGCCTACCGGCAGATGTCAACACAACTCGCTCACATACTATGAACCATGGGAGCTGTAGTTCGTTAGAGAAACTACACAAAGGAAGCTTCGACTAATCTGACTACATTTCCCATCTACACCTTGGAATGCCACATCACACAAGATTTGCTTTTTATAGTTACCGGCGTACACCGAAACCAACAACTGCGGAGTCTGTACTCGAATTAAAACGGGGTACGCGGCTAAAAGCCGGTATTAACCAGGTGACAACCAAACTGGATTGTGCGTCTGAGTCTGCTTCATGTTGTGGATCTATTGGCTTTACTTAGGTCTCTTTTGCCCGATGTTCTTTAGTCCAATCATTATAATGACTAACTTCACAAAGCCGGACGCCCCGGTACCCATAACAAGCACAACCACAAAAACTGCAGTTTACTGGGAAAACGAAACTTCTCTGACAGCATCCCATTCGAGCCTATCACAACCATCCATGATCACAATATTCATAAAAACAAAAAAGTATGCAACATTATCCAGCATTTTTATATCAATTAGGTATTTTCAACAAGTACTTGCCAGATTTGCATACATTTTGCTATTGATATTTAATAATATTTCATGATGATTTGGGGAACTCTGACAATCCGTGTATCTACCGTCCATTTGTTTTTCTTTATTAAACAAGTAAACGGAAGAGCGTCTGAAGAGGTTTCTCAATACTCAAATTTCCACTCCTCGACTCCTATCCTCGAGACTTGGGGCCGCCCACAGGAGATGCGAGCGGAGGACTGAGGAGGGGAACCGAGGAGAGAGGAGTGGAAGCAGCAGGCGGTTAGAGAAATGAGAACTCCTCTCCTCTGAGCGGTCATTTTAAAGAGACGTCCATTAATGATGACAGGAGGTACAGCAGCACTCTGATGGACAGATGTGTTCATGATGACTTATATATATTTACTTTTAATTAATTGACAGTGCGGTATAATGAGACAATAACAGGCTACAGATGCGGACGTATACACACACATATATTTATATAAATATATACAATTTCAGAATCAAACAAGTATGAGAGCACTCTCATAATAACGTAACACAATCAGAGACTGGATATATCCCAGCCTCTCTCTGGTCCCTGAAATGGGGAATTGAAATTACGGGCCAAAAGTTGTAGGCCTACAAGTATTAAAAAAAAGTAAGCATATGACACCAAACCAACTGAGACCCGTCTGTCCGCATCTACGCACTGTACCACACACACACACACACACACACACACACACACACACACACACACACACACACACACACACACACACACACACATTTAGACGCGATTGCAACACAGAAGTACCTTTCAAATCCGATCCTTTTTAAGACCTTCTAAATCATATTTAAGACCTTTCTTATTTGTTTTGG